CGAGTCCCGACCCGTGACCCCCGACATCTGAGCAATACGAGGGTAAGTAGCTAGCTTTTTTTAGTATTATTTTTTTAGTATTATATTATTTTATAGCTATTTTTAGTTTATTTTAGATATATTTTTTCAAGTTTTTATTTTTTTTCTAATTTCAGCTTCATATCAATTAATGAACGTACTCAAATGTGGGTTAAGACGAGTGAAGAACTGCTGCATAGCGAGTATCTTCAAAATAACATTAAATAATTTAATTTTTTCAATGTTTCTTTAAGTACCATGAAAGTATAAAGTAGAATATTTTGAACGTCATTATGAAAACCTGTATATCTGAGAGATGTTTATATATAAATTATGTATGTATTTAAAAAAGTTATATATATGAGACTATACCTTACCTCTCTTTGTTTTCGCTTGTCGTGGTAGCCTTTAAGTAGAACAACCTTTAACAATTGTAAAATTTAGACTTGTAGTTTTTGCACGATTTAAGTGTATGTTCTGTTAGCTACCCTATATAAATAAATAAATAGATCCGTGCAAGTTATCGAAAATATTTATATTAGATTTTTATTGGAGTTTATACCTGAAAGTACTGTTTTTTAAATTTTACTGCGAATTGTTCTTATCAATATAAAAAGATTTATTAAAAGCATACTACAAAAGTCTTGGTCTAAGGTTCTTATGTAACTATATATTATCAGAGGAGAATTTAGTAACATTTTTCTGCTAGAATGTATCATTATCATTATTATTGTACTTTATGAGCATGTTGTAATTACCTCTAATTAAAAGTGAAATTATCATGTTTCTATAGTAATGAAAAAAAAAAACCTAATTTATTATTATAACTTTTGTTGGTAATTCTAAATAAAGAAATTATTGTTTAAGGTCACTATGTTATGTAGTTTAGTTTTAATTTCGAATTAATTTGAATATCGAGCAGAACTACGTCTCGAGCGGGGTCGAGACGCCATCATGACATTCAATAGGGATACGTGGTTTAGTAAAGTTGGTTGATCTTGGTGGATCACAGAGCTATGTTTTGATTATATTATAGTTGGAAGTTGATGATCGGTGCCTGAGAACCCGCTTGCTCATTTAAATTATTATTAGAATTCTAATTTCTGATAACGCCCACAAGTTTATTAACCATTAAAGATGATGTTCGCAGAATATGACTAACACTATATATATATATATATATATATATATATATATATATATATATATATATATATATATATATATATATATATATATATATTACTCGCGGCTCCACCCGCGTCCAGATGACCAAAAACCAAATTCGTAGGTTTTAAAACAATATTAGTATACTCTTACAATACAGTTTTTTTATTTTTTCTCAGATATTTTCCCGCGGTAAAAAGTATACTATATGTTGACCCGGATAACCAGCCAGCTATCATCATAATAAATTTCATCAAAATCTGTCCAGTGGTTTTCTCGTGATGCGGTAACAGACAGACAGATAGACAAACATACAAAAATTCTAAAAACTATAGATTCGGCCTCTGTATCGATAATAATGTTTATTGTAATAAGATTTTCCAAAAAATATTTAATGTACAGAATCGACTTAGTTACAATTTTATTATATGTATAGAGATGTATACTATCTTAGTATAGTTTCGTAGTATGGCATCAAAACTAGTATGTTGTAGTAACTCAATAACGTGTATATGTCTCTTTTAACTCTAAAAAGTGCTGGATAGATTTCGATAAAATTTCGCTGCGAAGGCGCGAACTAAAACTCGTATTATATCAAAATCTAATGTGTTTTGAGGAAACTAAATGTTTATCACGGTATAAAATTATGAAAAATTGCTAGGTTTAATTACGGATGTCATTTAAAGCAGCAAAATTTAGAGAAAACATTAAAAATGCTTTCCACGAATGTGTCAGAATTATAACATTATTTCTTTTCCAGATTTTACATGAATAATGTCCGGCACAAAGATGAAATTTTTATAAAGGTTGGGCATGAGATGAATATCAATAATAAAATGTTCAGATGCCAAATTGAATTGTCTTTGATGTGACAAAATGAGTTTTTTAATATATAACAAAACTAGATTTTGAGTATGACTTTAGCTGAAGTAATTTCACTTAAATATATATATATATATATATAAATATATATATATATATATATATATATATATATATATATATATATATAAATCGATTTCTAGATTATTCTGTAAGTATATTCAAATGAACTTGAAGTTATCTACCCTTGTTCTTACTTTACGCATTTTATCTATACATACAGATAAATAAAATTGAAGTGTCTGTTCGTAATGTCAAAATGACAGATTTTTCCTAAACAAACCTTACATAAAAGAAAAACATTTTTTTTGTCTACAAGTCTGTCTGTTTGTTCCGGCTAATCTCCGAAATGACTGGGTAGATTTTGAAATGGATGAGGAAAACATACATACATAATATATGAATAGAACTTACATATTTATTATTACTTACCATACAAAAACTAACTGTTTTTGTTATCGATTTTGTCTTTGCCTATTTATATTTTTTTTATTGTGTAAGCATTTGGCTTATACATATATATTTTTAAAATATATTCTAAGTTTTGAAAACATAGAACTATAAATCTAAAAGGATGTTAAAATCCATTAAAAATATTGCTTCAAAAAGGCATTCAATTTATAAGTGACAATAAACTCAAATGATTTCTGACACAAAATAACAAGCGACGCTTAAATTGACACTTTTCAGACTAATGTTGTGACAATATTTTCACAATATAATAATAATATTTGGTTCGCTCATTTTAAATATGATTTTTTTTCTAAAAAAACTTTAGTGTTAATAGCCATCGTCATTGATACTACGTGGGTAGCAACTTCGATTCTCGTTGAGATCAAATGTTTAGAAACATATCTTATAATATTAAATGAGTTATTCTTGTATTCTATACATATAATAAAATTGTAACTAAGCCTAATCTGTACATTTTTTTTGGAAAATCTTATTGAAATAAACATTATTATCGATTCAGAGGCCGAATCTATAGTTTTTAGAATTTTTGTCTGTCTGTCTGTCTGTTACCGCTCACAGAAAAACCACTGGAGGGATTTTGATGAAATTTGGTATGGTGATAGCTGGTTATCCGGGTCAAGGATACTTTTTACCGCGAGAAAATGTCTCATTTCTGAGAAAAAAATACAAAAACTGCAATGTAAGTGCATACTTATATGTAAAACCTAAGAATTTGATTTTTGGTCAAGTGAACGCCGGCGGAGCCGCGGGCAATGCTAGTATAATATAAATTTATTTCGAGGAAATGGCACTAACGATTTGGATTAAATTTTGTATTTAGATAAGGTTCTCATTTTTATCCGACTGCGCTGAAATCCAAAGGAGGGTTATGTGTTTGACCTGTATGCATGTATATGCGATTTTTCCCTCGTAATTACTAAATGACTTAACCAATTTTAATGATACATACATCATTCAATTCGCCTTTATAACGCGAGTGTATATGGATATCATAAAAAATCAAAATGCCGGATCCTAGGCGCCTAGCCGGATTATATAGGCGGATTGCTGTAAAGCATTCGAAACTTCGGGAGCCAAAAATCAAAATAAATCCGAGAAATAATTCGAAAAGATAGTTTTATTTAAAATGTCAAATATTCGCGTAACTCTAAGAAAGTACATATTTTATAATAACTTGTTTTGGTTTTTTTTTATTTTTGTAATTAAGTTTATCTTTTTTGGTGTATTTTCTGATAAAAAAACGCATTTTTTGTATCTTTCCCGTTAAAACGCCAAGCGAAACTTGGTCGCTAAGTTACTGGTATGAAAGTAAATATTTATCCACGAGGACAGTCAATAAAATTGAAATGAGGGTGAGTTGAGTTGTACAGTTATATGGAAATCCGGTTTAGTTCTGAAAAGAACTACATCCGGCGTTGTCCAAAAACGTTCAAAGAAAAGTTAAAAAATAAATTAATAAATAAAAATTCCAGGCACTAATAAGTAAAAAAATAACTGTACGACGGTCTTCCTTTACTATAGAAACCTAGTCAGATATTTTCAAAGTCGGTGCCAGCCAACCATTCTGTAAGATATATATATTTACCGGTAGTAGGACTCTGTCTAGCCTAAGGAGTCCGACTGGATGGGTACCACCCTCTTATCTATTTCTCCAGCCAAGCAACAATAAATAAAGTGCTCGATATGAAACTTCATAAACTTAAAATGTCGATAAAACAAACAGAGAACATAAATAAAAGATAACATGCGTATTTAGAATAAAATATTAACTTTTCACAAAAGTAATCTTTTACAGGCAAAAAAAAATTATAAAAGAAACCATATTATGCACAAAACAAGATTTTTTCCAAAGTTCGCGTCACTTCTCTCTTAAGAATAAACTTAAATTAACAGTTTTACTCGTAATTTGATGCTCTAGTAAAGAGCTTGTAATATGACACACGTACAGGTTATAAAATTTCTAAATGTACCTGAATGAAAAACTCGACAGTACATTACTCGTTGCCATTACTCAGTTCGTGAGCTTAAAGTTTATAAATAATACATACTAGCGATTTATCCTCGCTTTCCTTTGCCTTTTGTATTTGTAATATTACATATAGGTAGCGCCACCGTTCAACGACAAAGTCAATTGTTATTGTTAATGCACGCATGCGAGCACTCACTCACACACACACACACACACACACACACACACACACATACATATGCACACATACATACACTCACACACCCAAACATACTAATTTCAAATTCTCTCAAATTATCTTTGTACTAAGTTACAATTTTATTCTTTATCTATCGAACGTATTATATATTTGTTAGTAAACTAAAATATTTATGTATAAATGTACTTAAATATACATCACATAAAACAAAAAAATACATAAATCAATACAGTCTTATTCAAAATTTTCTTATTTATATATTAAATTCGATTACTATTGCAGTTTGATTTAAAGAGAATTTGTAGCTCTAGAAGATGATGGTTGGTCTGTATATCGTTTGATGGGTGTATCTTCTGGAAGTTCACAGTCCAAGCCTCGCTTCCGGTGGTACCACAGCAGTACTAACACGCAGATGATGCAAAGTAAGATGAAGAAGACCAGCATAAAGAGGAAATATAGCTGGAAAAACATATAAAAGGTTAGTTACCCGACATTCACTTAAATGATGTTATGAGTTACTGTTTTTTTAGAATATTAAATAAAATTGGTACTCGTATATGACCTTAAAATTGTCTCACATTACAAGAAATTTTCAAGGTTGAACTTATTCATTTTAGTTTATTATATTATATTATAAGTGAAGTGAAGAGTAGAATGATAAGATTGCCTATTGTATAGGAGACATACAAAAATATATCCCGATTGAAACCTCTCCTTTTTTTGAAATCGGTAAAAAGGAGCCAAAAATGGTAAAGTAAAAGTTGATAAATATGTTTTTATAATATAAAATATTTTTATAACAATAAATATGTGTAATACCAAGTTTTGAATGTGTTATATCTTTGGAAGTTGCTTATATACTTGTACCGTCTAGGAAAGAGCTTTTAACAGCCAAGCCTTTAAACGACTGAACAGATTTTCTTGATTTATAGCTAAGAACACTCGATAAAATCATCTTTCAAACAAAAAAAAATTAAATTAAAACCGGTTTATCCGTTTAAGACACAGATACATAAATTAAGCTTCTAACACCCCTCTTTTTGCGTTGGGGGTTAAAAATGGCGCCAGTGTGTCTGGTCAGTAGCCTCGATTTTTTTTTGAATTCGCATCTTCAAGGTATCGATACGATATCAGAGTCTGGCGATAGTTAGTACCATATTATAATCAATTTTAGCCTCAATGTTGTTTTTCTGTGTTGTGAGACGTAAATAAAAAAAAAAAAAAGGTGAACTCAAACTAGGAACGGAGTAATTCTAAACCGCTATATTTGCAGACAAACAATAGACGACCTTTTGAAAATACGTCAACAAATCTCAATGGGATGAGATCAGCGTAGAATAACAAACTTGACGCATGCGCGTTAGAACATGTTTTAATGAAAAATTCAGCCTAATTTAGGTTCGTTACATAAAGTCTAAAAAAATATCTACTCGTATATGGGAATGACATATTATGATTCATTTGGAAATAACATGTATGACATGTCATGTCTATAACGATTTTGAAATTTCTATTTCCTCAAACTAACAATAAGCCCTTTAATACGTTTCTGTATATTTATATTATACTAGCGGCTCACCCTCGCTTCGCTCGGGTTCTAGAAAAACACTAATAGAGATCTATTAGTTCCCACGGGAACCGTTCATTTTTCCGGAATGAAAAGTAACCTGTTGTTTGACCGGCAATATAAGGTATCAGAATGTTAAATTTTACTAAATTAGGTGCATAAGTTGTATAAGTTATTATATTTTTAGCTATCCCACGGGAACTATTTAGTTTTCCGGGATAAAAAGTATCTAAGATGTTGCCCGGGGATATAAGGTATCACCATGAAAAATTTCATTTAAATCGGTCTAATAGATTCGGAGATTAGCCCGTACAAACAGACAAACAGACAGAGAAACAAAAAATTTAAAAGAAATTCTGGATTTGTTCTATTTGTCTTCTTACATCCCCCTGACTCGGTTTTTAGCATTTTTTTGCTATGTACAGACATTCGGCCTCTACAGTTTTATTATAGTATAGATAAGGATTGGATGTGCTCCAGATTCACCAGATTCACACTTTAAAGGACTATATTATATGTATGTATGTATTTATTTATTTTTATCCTTTTTTTAACGTTCGACTGCTGTGCACGGGTCTTCCTTTACTGCAAGGAGGATCAGGTCATAGTCCACCACGCTAGCCAAATACGGTTGGCGGACTTCACATGTCTTTCGGAAACTTGTTAGTTATCTCACACATACAGGTTTCCTCACAATGATTTCCTTCACCGTAAGACAAGATATATATATATATATATATATATATATATATATATCTTGTCTTACGTCTATTATATATATATATATATATATATATATATACAAATCATGTCCATAAAGTATAGTCCATATAAATTTTTTTTAATAAAAATATATTTTTTTTTGGATTTTTTCGCGAAGTTATTTTGATTTTTGGTTCCCGACGTTTTGAATGCTTTACAGCAATCATGGTCACGGGGGAGACCATCCATATAAGTTTAGTACATATAAATAAATTAAATAATCATTTCTACATGTACATTATTATAACAATGTAAATAAATTGAGAGGATCTAATTAAGCAACAGAATATGCAATTTGCATTGAAATCATTATTACATATGTTAATTAAACTTACATAATATTAAGAAAAAAAAGTAATAATCAATACACAATAAATGATGATTTCTAAAATATATGCAAGATATTTAAAAATAAGTGGAAAATCACAAAAATTTCAGCATAAAATCAAAAATAAATGTCTTACTCACACCAAAATAGGCGAAGACTGTCGCGTAAGGAGACATGGTGTCTATATCATTTCCAAAGAGATACTGGAGTATGTCGGTGTTATTGGGGCACATTGCCAAATTTTTTTATCATCCACTCACAAAACTTACTGCTACTCTCCCCTATATAATATATTGATTGTTATTGTCTCACTGGATTGATTAAACAGGTAAGTAATAATCCATACTAATATTATAAATGTGAAAGCATGTTTGATTGTTTGTCTTTCTTTCAAGTCGAAACGGATTGACATGATTTTTTGTGAAACTTCCTTTCTTTTTGAAATCGGTAAAAGATAAAGTACCTACACAAAAAGTAATTTTCGCTTTTTATCTAACTACGATCGAGCTTAGTGCATTTAAAAAAACATGCACACATAAATAAATATTATGTACTAAAAAAACGTATTTTGCTTCTATCACATTCCAAGCATGGTTCATTTTCAGCATTTTCGTTACAGAAAAATCTATACATATAATAAAATTCTAACTGAGTCGAATCTGTACATAAAAAATTTTTGGAAGATCTTATTGAAATAATCATTATTATCGATACAGAGACCGAATCTATAGTTTTTAGAATTTTTGTCTGTCTGAGAACCATCAAGAGAATACCACTGGACAGATTTTGATGGGTATGATGACCCGGGTCAACATTTAGGAAACTTTTTACTGCGGAAAATTACTCTGAGAAATCTATACTTAACGTTAAAACGTAAAATATTTAATTTAAAATTATATAAACGTAAATTATTATAAAATCATTAAAATCTCACTAAAACACTCCACATACTATTATACACACATCGTAATAGAAAGTAGATGTTCACAAAAATTTAGTTATATAGACCTACATATATTTTTTTTCAAAATATTTATTAAAAATAAACTTCTCACTTTAACGTATTGTACTACTACTAAATACAAAAGACCTTTTTTAAAGCAGTATGTAGTCTAAAACATGCGAGTTAAATCCTACAAAAGGGGAACTTTTCATGATTTTTTCAAAACGTTTTTATCAAAAAATCGGTTTAAAGGTAGAAAGAATTTCGAGCGTTTCGATTTATTGGCGCTAGTAGACCAGATCGCACCACGCTCGAATGCATCTCTGAATTGATAGACCATTTGATATGTATTTGATACGCGAAAGTAAAATGTATTTAGCCCTTTTTAATGTCCCACTGCTGAGCATGGGCATCCCTTCAATACGAGGGGAATCAGGCCATAGTGCACCACGCTGGCCAAGTGCGTTTTGGACTTCACATGTCTTTTGAAAACTTTGCTAGGTTCTCTCAGACATGCAGGTTTCCTCACGATGTTTTCCTTTTAGTATTGTATTCTAATATTGTATTATATTGTATTCTATTGTATTGTATTCTATTGTATTGTATTCTATTCTATTCAGCCTTTTTTAAAGTCCCACTGCTGGGCACGAGTCTCACTTCAATACGAGGGAGATCAGGTTATAGTCCACACAAACATGTAAGTGGTTTTCTCACGATGTTTTCCTTTGCCATAAGATAAGTGCTAATCATGTTGGAAATGATTAGATGCGATACTCTGAATTTGAACTCACTTCACTCGGTTTCCAAGCGATCGCATTACCACTGCGCTACCACTTCCGTTAACTAACATAAAAATCATAAAATTTAAGTTTTTTTTATTAATTTATTAAAATTTAATCTTGAACATTTCAAGCTTTAACCAAGAACCTGTAACCAGCAGACCTATGGTACTTCTCTCCGTTTTATAAAGTGGTGCCTGTGCGTAAAATATGTTCAAAACTCCATATACATATGGATACGTATAACAATCTGTTAGATTTACGCAATATTTCAATGTTTCAATTTATGTATTGTAATTGATTTACGACACGTGTATCAAATATTAAAGTTTGATTTTTTTTATACAATATTAGATCACAACAACTATGAAGTTCTCACATAAGAGTATAAGAGTGAGTGAGTATAAGAGTATATGGAACTTAAAAGCATTAGAAGCTTGTATAAGGAATATAGAGCGGAATAACCGAATGATTAGTTTTTCCAAATAACAAACTTTCGTACGTGACTCGCCTCTACTTTCAAACTTTGGTAACTTAATGAGAGAATCTTTTCATCTCATAGTAATTAATCCAGTTCGAAGTGCATTTTTAAGTCTTCGGTAAAACTTTGTTATAAGTTCTGATAGTTACTCGCTTTCAATATGATTTGTAATAAGATTTATTAACGAGTTACCTCTAGATAAAAAGTTAAAATGAGATTAATAAATCTTGCTAAAAACTGAAGGTTTGAAAGTATTGTAGGAGATTTTTCTATCACCTCATGAAGAAAAATAGATCAGATTCGACCAACCATGAAAAGACTAATCACTTTAAACGAGATATCATAGCGAGGGCGTATACACTATCATCATTTATCACTTTTACTCTCCTTAGATGTACAATAAATAAAATTACAAATGTGCTCAATTATATATACAAAACAAATATACACTCAATTATTACTATATATGTAAGTTGTGTATACTATACAGTAAGTGGTAGCCCAGTGGTAACGCGCTCGCTTAGGAAACCGAGTGAAGCGGGTTCAAATCCCGGGTCTCGCACCTCTGATATTTTCATGTGCGAATCATTTCCAAAATGATTACCACTTTTCTAAACATGTGAAATCCGCCAACGCGCACTTGGCCAGCATGGCGGACTATGGCCTGATCCCCTCGTATTGGGAGGCCCGTGCCCAGCAGTGGGACGTTAAAAAGGGTTGAATTCATGTAAGTCATGTCCGCGTGGAATAGTGGCAAGAATGCTACCCGCATTCTCCCGCTGAATGGCAATGCCGATTCTTTGGGCGAAAACCAGCCCTCCTGTAACCAGTAGAGGCGATAAGACGAGGTTTAGTCTTTTAAGAAGTGCTTAGCACTTTGACTTCATGGTCTAAGAGTTTTTACAGCAAATGGTAAAGAAACATAATTTTATATCGTTTCAATATCATTGTTCCCTCCTAATCTTATGAGCAAAGTACGTAAGGCCTCCTAAAGCGTCTAATCTTTTCGGATAGGGCAACATATACAGAGAGATATTAGATTTTCTGTAACTACTTTCTGAGACTACTATATAATACCTTAGAGACATCTAACACCTCAGTCTCTCCCGTTACCATGATTGCTGTAAAGCATTCAAAACGTCGGGAACCAAAAATCAAAATGAATCCGCGAAAAAATCCGAAAAGATAGTTTTATTTATAATACGAGAGAGTAAAAGAAACAGCATAATTTCAAATATTATTTTTAAAAGAGCAACTGTTAAGTTTCTTGCTGGTTCTTCTGAACAGCAGAACTGCGGCACTGCGAGTTTCCTCACTGAGTTACATACAGACATTTAATTTAATTTATAAAAATTTGACAATTCAAAAGTTCTCGTAAAAGTCCATTTGTAGAAATAAATATTGTTATATAAACAACTTTTATCTATTTCATAAGATTCCCATATTATTGGTACTTGACGGAAACAATACGGATACAAGTTCTAAGCAGGACGATGACTTTATAAAATAGTAAGTACTTACGAAGAAATGCAATATGGCCTATTTAGAGTTTAGACTTCTCATGACTATTACGACAAAGAAGATTTTAATACTTTATTTCTTTCTCAGTTCTATTCTTCGTTTTCTTAAGAAAATATTTAAAAATATATTATGATCCATATACAATATGGTTTCTAAAGGAATCGAACCTGCAATCTGTAACATAGGTAGGTATCTGTCTATCATTGCAACGAATACTCAATGGAGATTTTAAGGTTGAAATAATTTTTACGCCCCGTTAGCGCTTTTCAAACGAAATTCTTTCACATTTTTCTTTGAAAAAGGTTTTCTGAAAATACTTCGTGTAATTTTATTAGTGGAATAGAATTGCTTATAATTTTTGTTTTTATTTTTCTCCTTTCACCGAAGTCGTACTATAAAAATATTTATTGTATCCATATAAATCCATATTAATATTATAAATGTGAAAGTGTGTATGTGTTTTTGTTTGTTTGTCTTCTTTTCACGTCAAAATGGAGTGACGGATTGGCGTGATTTTTTGTGTGGAGATAGTTGGAGGGCTGGAGAGTGACATAGGCTACTTTTACCGCGGGAGATTATATCATTCCCACGGGAAAATAGTTATATATTATATACATATAGTCTATTTATTTCATACAAACAGTTAAAACGAACCTAACGACGAACCCGAGCGAAGCGGGTGAGCCTAAAAATTTTAATTAATTTGTAAAAGAATTCTGTTTTGTTTTTCAGATTTCTCTACACAATGGTTAAAAAGACACAGGGAGAGAGAGTCATGCGTATAACTCAGCTAATAGGGGTTCAAATAAAAAAGTTGCTTTGAAACCTTTATATTAATTTTAGAAATGAATACTTTGATTTGACAATTAAGTAATTACTTTGAATTGAATCTATTTTTTTTCATTTATAATTGTTATTAACTTGTTTAAAATGTAAATTATTTACATATCTACATCTAAAAAGTATTATTACGTTATGTCTCATGTCAATTTATATAAAAATCGATTAATCTCCATATAAGTAAAGAGTCGACCTTATTCTTCCTTAAGAATTCACGAAAAGCTCTCAATATTCCTCATGTTCGTAGTAAATTATTTGGTAAATTATTAAATAAACAAACACGACACGACGGCTACGTCCACACGTTTGGCTCAGTTTGTAGTGAGCCTACTTGATGTGTCAACAGTCAGGGGTTCGAGTCCCGCTAGGGGCATTCATGTGTGATGAGCACGAATATTTGTACTCCAGTCATGGATGTTTATATGAGGGTGAGTCGCTAGTATTTTATACATTTTATAACCGTACGATTTGATCGAAGGACAGAGACTATGTATAAGACAGGTCAAATTAATTTTAAAAATCTATACATATAATAAAAGTGTAACTGATCGCTGTCTGTACATGAAAGGTATCTATTTTGGGGGTCTTTATTAACGCAATAGAATCGAAAACAATGATTTTTAGAATTTTTGTCTGTTTGTTTGTACATTTGTGCGCGTTCATCTCAAA